AAAGAATCCACGCTGCTTGATTCCATTATGAAATATTCAAAATAGGCAAATCCACAAAGACAGGAAATCCGTGGTTGCCTAGGACAGGCAGGACTGGAGGAAGTGGTGGTGAGGGGCTTCTAATGTTTCTGGTGGATACAAGATTTTTGCAAGGATGCGGCAATATTATCAAATTGTGGTGATGGCTGTGTAACTCTTTGACTACATTAATGAAGCTGGGCCTGTTGCTGCATGGCTGGAACCGAGGCAGGAAGATCGCCATGAGTTCAAAGCCAGCCTGGGCTCCATAGTGAGTTCAAGGTCAGCCTGAACTACACAGTGAGAACCTGTCTCAAACAAAACAAACCAAAACAAAATGTAACACCCCCTCACACTAAACAGCACTTTAAATGGATGAATTACATGGTGTGAGCCAGGCCTCAATACCCCTGTAACTACACATGCTGTCTTCATGTCAGTCCTCACTGACCTAGAACATAAGTCTTCCAGATTCATTTCTCTGTATCTTTCAGAACCCTCAGTCAAATGCACGGGAAACGACCTGACATTGCCACAGGTTGAAGCCCTTAGGGCTAAGTTGCCTGGGCTGCCTGTGTCTGGACAGCCTGAAAATGAGCAAACCTCTCTTCCCTGCCCCTGCCCCACCTGCCTTCCAGTGGAGGTAGAGGACTTCGGCTTGGCCCAACTTCAGCCTGGTCGCTCTGAACATCCTCTCAGTGGTTTCAGCTCACCACTGTCCCCTCAGCGTGGGACAAGGGGAAGGGAAGCTCAGAAAGCAGTACAATGGAGAATGGTTTTCCCCAGTTTCCCGAACCTACCCTGAGTCTTGCATGCATCAAAGCAGCTGAGAGAGACAGCAGTGGACCCATGAGAACACATTTCTAAGAAGTATTGCAGGGAACGACAATTAATTATGAAATTTAAAAAATAATTATATTTTAATGTCAATTTTGGTTCCCTGAGCTGAGCTGCTTTTTTCTTGGTACTGGGGATAGAACTCAGGTCCTTGAGCTTGCAAGGCAGGCGAGGCGCCACTGAGCTAAATCTCCAGCCCCGCTGAGCTGCTTTCTAATCAACATCACTCATATTAAACCACACAGCTCCCTACTCCGTCGATGTGGTACTCACAGACCGGCAGCTTAACCTCCTCTGTCCTTAAGATGACTGCCATGATCCACATATGTGCCATGGGAGAGAGGGGCCGTGGGCTGTGGCTTAACAAGACAGAACGGCAAAGCCACGACTGTTAGAGATTCTGTGTGATGAAACATTATCAGTCTCCTCTGAGTTGTAGGATGCAGTATTCTTTTCCTTGTACTTCTGTACTTTTCAAGTTCTGTCTGTACAATGCATATCTACTAAGGAATCCATTGTTGAAACAATGCCAGTGCTCAGGCTATGCCCGAGGGCTACTAACATCAGGTCCCGGGGTGGAGTGGGGACCAAGGAAGCAGAGGGCAGAATGCCCTGGCTCAGAGCACACTGAGGTTTCCAGTGACGCGAGCTGGCATCTGAGTCCCAGGCTCTATGAGCGGGCCCAAGACCATGTTCACACTTGCACACCTCCAGTTCCGGCCTCCACTGTTCTTCACGGGCTGCCCCCCTGCATTTGGGAGAGCTTCTTCCCTGACAGCACAGAGCCAAGAACAGAGGTACGGAGACTGCTGTGCAAGGCTACATGGGGTTCAAATTCCTTCCAGTGACCGAAGGGGTCAATAAATTCCTTACTGAGGGTTTAGGTGCAGTGATGGTGAGCCTTTTAGAGACTGAGAGTCAAACTGCAAACCCAAACCTACTGTGTATCACAAAGTGCCAACATGGCACTTAAACCTGAATACCGAGGGCTTAGTTGAGAAAACACTGCGCATTAATATCTCATCTTAAAGTCCACTAACACATGTGCGATAGGTTCACCACTGCTGGTTTAGGGGAACTAGAAATATTTAGACTGAAGAAACCTGAAAGGCAGCGAGCTCCTCTACAAAGTGGTAGAAGATTCTCCCCTGGAAGACCCCTGGGGAACAGACAGGCTAAGGACTGCACTCAAAGGCCCTGCACGTACAGGAGAAAGCTCATCCTTGCCCCCATCCAACCCAGATTGGGTTTATTTTCCTTAGCAGATACTCCCTCAGCCCCAGGCTAATACATCGCTCCACAAAATGCACCATTTGATTCCGTGAACCACTGATTTTCCCCTTGCAACTCAAAGCTACACCTCTGCCTCTCTGTAGCTCAAAGTTGGTCACCGGTGTAGCTACTGAGGTGCTGCTGCCCTCTGGCGGGAATAAAGAATGCAGCTGCTTAGGGAAGCATGCAGTTTGAGGCTCTCCTCTGCACACCCACTTCCCATTTAACTTCCTCTCAAAAGCTTAACTTTCTGATGTGGGCCCGAAAGTTCTGACTCCCGCACATGAGGGGATCTTGTTTACATTCACACCACCATTCTGTCTCCTAAGATGCTGAATCTTTAGTCACAATATAAAACCCTGGTTGCTAGAGAGGTAGCAATGTGCGGACACCATTTCCCTGTACAGGGTAACCTGGGGAAGTTAACATGGTGTTATGGAAAGCCCACTGGATGAGGTCTAAAGGCCCCACATGCAGCTCACGTTCTGCCATTCCCTGTGGGATCTTCAATCTATTCATTAAAAAGGAAAAAAATACGTTAACAAAAAGTTGCAAGGTCATTGCTACACGAAATGCTACAAATTTATTAATTTGTAACATGCTTTGTTTGGAGATGCAATCTTTTGGGGCAAAGTGCTACGAGGAGTGTTACTTTGAGCTGGTCACCACAGCCCAGAGCCACCATTCCACTCTAGGCTAGCAACCCTGAGGCTCCTGCAGGCTGGCCAACCCCAGGTCCTGTGCATCCAGGCCTCGGGCTCAGGACAGCCACTGCCAATGCTCTACTCTTCCCTGAAGCAAGAACTGCAGGAGACTGGTCAGGGAGGGATTAACAATTCCCAGGTTGCGCACATGCCTGTACACACCCAGCAAGGTTTCTGGGCAGGTTCTGCAGCTCTAGTGAGGGCAGAGCTCGGTGAGGATGTGACTGGGCAGGATTTCCCTGTCCCTAAACCTGTCACCCACCCTTGCTGCTGTGAAGGGCAGTGGAGGACACCACTGGAGTGCTAGCCAGGTGTTCAACCCCAACTGGAAAAACAGTTTGGAAGAAAACTGTTCATAGCTGATTAAGGAAGGAAGGTGCCTGTTTCATTTTTAAAAAACCCATTTCTTTGTAGCTAGGTTTCTTCACAAAAGAAATTTTTCCTTTGAAGAACTGCCTTGCTAAGTTCTTGGTATGGTCTCTAAATGATGTTTTCACATTAGCCTGGGAATGCTATGCTGGACTAGGCTCACTTTCTTCACTAGGGTCACAGTTAGATGACTTCAAAGGCATACAGTGCTTTATTGACCTGGGGACCTCTGCACCCGCTGCCCATTCCCTTTCGGAAAAGCAACACCTTGCTGAGGCATTTAAGACAGGTGTCTCAGGCTCTCCTCACTTACACGGAATCTCACACTCTTAAGTAACAGTCAACTGTGAGCAATGAATGCTTACTGGGTCTTTTGGTTACCGTGACCTTTGAAGATCCTCGTCTCTTTAACTAGCCTTTTCATGAGGTGTCATTACTGGTATTAAAAGGCTCTCTAAAAATTATTTTCACTAAAAAATATAGAGCTGACTAGCAAGAGTACTACTTACCCTCCCAATCCCAAGTATTAGGTAAGAGTAATAAGGCAAATGTCTTAACAAAAGTTTGTAAATAAAAGTAGCCAACTGTGAGTGCTTCCACAGACCAAGCTGTGTTCTGCAGTTTTACGAACAAAATCTCCAGGTCTTACACCAGCCCTACAAGGCAGAGGAGCAGACCCGCCCTGCCCTTCATCCTTCATAAGCAGGGCCACACTCAGCTGCCTCCTTCCTGCTGTGATCTCGCTTCACCACTGCGTCTCCCGAAGAGGACAGCCAGGGGAGGGAGGCGCCATGCTGCTGCCCACGCTGTGGCCGGGAGGTGGTTTTCTTGTACTGCACACCATCTAAGAGTCGACTTGAAACAAGTTCAGGCTTGCTTCAAGATGTGCTTCATTTTCTATTTATCACTCCCCTCCACTCACAGCAAGGAGGTTCTGGAGGTGCTGAACATGTGTGGAGACACCAAGAGAATTCCGAGCTGGTGATCAAAGTACAGTGTGCTGTTGAGAGCTATCCCTGAAAACTGGGAAGGGCAGTTGGCAAGACAAGGGTGTAAATCGTGGGCCAGATCCCTACAACACAGGGCCTGGTCCACAGCAGCGGGTGCTTTGGTCAAAGCTGTGAACTGAAGAGACACATCATCCACTGGCTTGCTGCTGTTGCTTTTCCGATTAGAGGGTACAGAGTCACTTTAGGTAAGTTACATTTAACATTTATTTTCATTTTATATCCAGATGTCACATTTTCTACATTAAAATATAATCATGCTGACTCCCCCCACCCCAGCCCCTCAGAGGGAAAGGTGAAGAAGTTTACACACCCGGAAAGATGGAATGCAGAGAGTAGGGAAGCTGCCACTGCACTCGAGTAACACCGAACACGAGGAGGCTGGACGTACACTTGGCAGAACTGCACAGGAGACAGCTGAGGCTCACGCCAGGAGGAGCAAAACGCTATCACTTGTGCCACAAGATCACCCTGAAAGGGTAGAGCTGGGTCAGCAAGCAGGGCTGAACGGGGACTTTCCCAAGGCTGTTCTCCAACAGAGATGAGAATATCCACACACCTAAGAGCCTGCTCCTCCCTACCTTCCTCAGCATCTGGTGGACACCTTGGAAACAAAGCAATGATTCCATCAGAGACTACAGCTCCTCTGCATGGAGACCCACTGAGCATCACCGAGGCAAGGTGTCCCCCTCTACGGAATGAATGCCACCGAGCTGCACGGGCCTGCGTGTCCGTTCTCAAGAACAACTCGACACAGGAACCCCAGCTATCAGGGAGAAAGAGGAAAGGAAGCGCCTTCTGCTAAGGATTTATTACACTGGAAAGAGCGGGTGGAGAGTAAAAGCCATCTGCTTAGAGCAGAGCAGACCACAGGCACACCAACAACCCAAAAGAGAAGGCTCGACGAAGAGCCCCTTGGCTCCTGTGAGAGGAGGCTTCTTCAGTCTTGCCCTTCGATCCCTAAAGCACTTAGCTTCAGACAGTGATACTCTCGAGGGGGCTGAGAGGTGAGGTCTGGGAGGCCCAAACAATGAGGACATTATTAGGAAACCGACTGCACTATTATGTACAAATACATACATCCGTAAGAAAACTTTACCTCCATCCCCACAGCTACTTAAAGCCCTGAAGATCAGGTTTTCAGAGTGAGGATATTTTCAAGTCTGTTAGCAGTTTAGACATTGCAACACTGGCACAATATGTTACCTACTCTTTGCTTTTAATTACAGGGTAACACGGTAAATTCCCACACTGAGGTGGGGATGGAGGAGTGCAAAAGGAATCAAGAAAACAGAACCAATATTTCACAAGAGGGGTATGCCACAGAAGCAGCACCGACTAATGCTTTGCGGAGTCTCGAGGGTAAAATTCACTCAGGGTGCTCTGAGGGATTCTCTTCAGCATTTCTTTGGGGAAGATTCGGAGCAGCTGCCACCCAATGTCCAAAGTCTCATAGACACTGCGATTTTCGTAAGGACCTTTAAAAAAAAAAAGGGTACTGAATTAATGGCAAAGTACCTCCAGCTTTTCAGTGTTATTCAGTTATTTATTCTGTTATGATTAGAAGGCACTGTGGGCATAAAATGCAAGAAAGGAAGCCAGTTAGGACTCTCAAAACTAGATGAGACTGAATGTGGAACTGAAGGTACAAAGGTAATCAGAAGGGAGGGAGAAGCCCGTGGTCTACAGACACGGGTGGCCCCGTGTGTGTGTGCTGGGGAGGGGCTGTCTGAGCCGGTGTTGCTCACCACTGAGTAGGATCCGTGGACAATGGAAACTAGGTTGCGTGAGAAAAGCAACCTAGAACACAGGGTTAGATTTGAGGGAGACCTGGAAAAATGCTTAAAAAGCCTTAAATGCCAATCAATCAGATGACATGCTAAGCCAGCAGTTTTCAAAGTTGTTATTTTCAATAGCAGAAGCACTCTCATCACTCAAATATTATTCACTCACTCTTCAACCAAGGAAGGAAGAGTGGCTGGAATTCTGGGCTCCTTTCCCTAAAGAACTTCACTTCTGTGTGTGTATTTAAGGAACTGAGGTTAAAAGAATCCCAGCAAACATGTATGATTTTATATTTTTAATATGAAGAAGGTATGGGCTGGGGATTTAGCTCAGTGGTTCCACTGCCTGCCTTGCAAGCGCAAAGACCCGAGTTCGATCCCCGGTACCAAAAAAAAAAATATGAAGAAGGTACTAGAAAAGGGCACAGATCCCAAGTATGCCACTTGAGGCACAACTTCAAAGTAATATGCTTGTTGTAACTACCACTGAGCTATGAAGGGAAGGTTTCTGGTACTGAAAGGGACAACAGGGAAGAGACCAAGCAAAAGAGCCTGAAAAACTAACATGTGCTATGTGAGGAAATCCATGACAGACTTTTTAGCAGAGGAACAATTAATAAAATTTGTAAATTCACCCCTGAGTCATGGGAGATGGTGGAGAAGGAGAAGCTGGCAGGGATGGCCAGGGACAGTGTGGCCCAAGACCAGCAGCTCAGCATCTCCCAGGCACTCTGCACACACAGTCTCCGGCCGCACCGAGCACAACAGAATCAGAACCTGCACTGTAGCACAATTTCCAACTGACTCAAAAGCAAATCGAAGTCTGAGAAATACTAGACCAAGATACTGTAACAGGACTGAAAATAAAGAAGGGCAGGATTTTTTTTTCTTCCCCCGGAACCGGGGATCAAACTCAGGACCTTGTGTTTGCCAGGGAGGTGCTGGCGCCACTGAGCTAAACCTCCGGCCCTAAGGGCAGGGTATTTTAAAGGAGAAGACAATCTAGCAAATGTCTGATGGCTGGAAAATAACTGAAGGAGTTAAGAATGATGCCCCGATACTAAGCCTGGGTTAACTAGGACAACAATCCTGCCCCGTGTAGACAGAGCCTACAGCAGAGTTGACCGGCAGTTCAGCAGCTGGAAAGAACACTTTGGTCCTGGTCCTCCCAAGCCTGAGGGATGGTGGCATAGCAACCATAGCATCCCAAGGCAGGTGGAAACTCGGGAGCTTAGGAAGAGGATAAGGATAATGTGTAGCAATACAGGGTCCATAGCATAATGAAAAGTCAATGTTAGGAGGGAAAACAGAGAAATAAAAGGTGACTGGGCTTCTCAGAATATTAGCAATTAAGGGGCAGGAAGACAAGAAATGAAAAACGAGATGAAAACTGATGAATCAGAAAGTCCCCCAAACCAAAAGACATCGTTACAGAGAAGTTCTCAGGAGAGTAGGAATAGGGGCAGGGCGGGGCAGGGTGGGGTGGGACACTAGTGGAGACAGAGGGGAAGCGGCCCCAGGGTTAAGGCAAAGACATGGCAGGTGGCTAGAAGAGCTTCTCTAATCAGAGGGAAAATTGTAGAGAGACCAATGTAAATTCCCTCAGACTGGGAAGCAGGTCTTACAGGACGTGAAGCTTTATGTTTAAAGAAAACAGTCATCTCACCTTGACTAATGAAGTTCCTCTCAAACTTCTGCAGAAATTCCAAGTAAAGAAGATCATCTGAGGTAAGGGCTTCTTCTCCCACTACGGCTTTCATGGCTTGTACATCCTTACCGATAGCATAGCATGCATACTGGAAGGGAGAAAGGACGGTAAAACAGAGATCTGGGATACATGAATGCATCGCTGTGGCTCCTTTCTAAGGCAACGCAGGAGTGCACCAACACAATTCCTACAAGGCTCATATGGAAGTATCAAAGGACTTCATTATAAAGTATTCTCCCTCAGTAAGGAGGCTTTAGGCAATGTAAATTGGGCAGGAATTAGCAACACTACAAAAAACATTTTTCTTTGATATGTCAATGAGTTTATATTTATAGCATCTGAAAACCAAAACTCATAAACCACGGACAAATCCATCTCAAGTTCCATTCAAAAAACATTTGCGTATCGTACGTTTACCATTTCTACTTTATGGACAAAAGTATTTTTCATTGTGTTTGGCGCATAATCTCATATGAGTACAGAAATCCAAGACTTCACAGAATATATAAAACTGTATCCTTTAGTGTTCTGATGGTTACTTAATATGTTAAACAAAAAGATACGTCAGAGTATCCTTTCAGGAATACTCTATAATTACTACTAAAAATTAAAATGACCTTATAGCATGGGTTTTTTTTTTTAATTAAAAGCTATTTTTGCAGAACTGGCCAGTTTTCGAGCTTGGTAGTTTTAACCTTGATTATCAGCATCTATCCTTACGAGAACAAGTCTGCTTTGGTTTAAATAAAACCTCTATTAAAATTCTCCTTGGATGGGATAGAGAATTGCAAAGAACGAAGAGGGATAAGGCAGCACCAAGTACAAAAAGGCGTTTCTTTCTTTCAAACGCCACCCTTAGAAGAACATACATACATACCAGCTGGTTAGACACATCGGCATGGTCCTTCCTCGTCATCCCCTCTCCAATAGCAGACTTCATTAACCGTGAGAGGGAGGGCAGTACATTGATAGGTGGGTAAATCTTGGGTGGAATAGGAAGGGAGAAATAACTGTAAGTACAAAACGCAAGCTTGACTGGTGGAAGAATCTGGAACTCACTATTATCCTTTAAATTATATAAATCTCCTGCCATTTGTTTCCTGGGACCAAATGGTAGTAGGAAACACTTCACAGCATAAAATTTCTTTTTTGCCTCCCAAGTGCTGGGATTACAGGCATGCACCACCATGCCTGGCAATATTTCTTGAGAATCAAACTCAAAGAAGCGAAACCTATAAAACAGTGCAAGACTATTTTGAAAAACTATAAATTTCCAACACCTGCCTGGTGTCTTTTAAACTCGTCTCGAAAAAAATCATACACAAAACGAAAAGAGTAACAATCATTCCACCTAAATGTTGATTCTAGATGCCAGTTTTTATCATAGAACCATCAAAAGTCTGCTATTCTATTAATAACAAGATTAGAGGATTCCATTCATTATGGAATAGACTACCCCGAAATGTTCTTTCAGACAAGCTGACTCCATTTCTAAGGTATAACGAAGTGGTGAGCCTCGCAGAAGCGCTGCTCAAGTGTCAAATACCTGTCTGTTGAGCAGCTGTCTGTCCACGTAGATCTGGCCCTCTGTGATATACCCAGTCAGGTCAGGGATGGGGTGAGTGATGTCTGCCAGAGGAGGACACACAGCCGTAAGTATGCAGCCCCTCTCCACCATGCCCACAGGAAGCCCATGTGCATTACCTAGAAGAGGCTAGTCACAGGGCTTTTCTGCGATGACAGGAATGTTCTGTGTCTGGGCTGTACAGAACGGTAGTCATCAGCCAAATGTGGCTACTGCACACTTAAAATACGGCTAATGAAACTCAAGAGCTTAATTTCAAACTTTGTTTAATTTTAATGAACTGGAACTTATGCAGTTCCAGTACTCAAATGTGCCTAGTAACTACTGTATTAGCAAATTTAATTTGTTTGGTTACAGCAGTTTGGTTTCGGACATGTTAGTACCACAAGGTCAATAGGCCACATTCATAAAAAGCACCGTCTCGGGCCAGGGATCTAGCTCAGTGGTTCCACCACCTGCCTCGAAAGCGCAAGGTCCCGAATTCGATCCCTGGTACCAAAAAAAAAGCACTGTCTCTCTTACTTATGCACTTTCTTGTAAAAATACAAATAAAACTCCACTTTCAACACAAAGTTCCCTTACAGAAATTTGCCAGCTTTATATATACTGACAGAACATGCTTAGTTCATAAACTATCTCAGATGGATATGTGACATTTCACTATGCAAAATATAGGGATGCCAGACAAGTAAGACAACACTATTCAGGTATCGGTCAAAAAGGTCACACAAAGCAACACATTTTCACATCCGTTAAAATTACATAAAGCCATTGTGTCACTACTCCTTTGAAACAAATCACTTCCATGTCAGAGGCACAGCAGCGTAACAGTTAGAATGAATTATGAGTTCAGGTCGCCCAGGTTGTGGATCTGTCACTTCCTAACTTTGGCGGATTACTTGGAAGAACACAGCGCCTGCTCCATGCTGCTGTGAGGATCAAATGAGTGAGTGCCGTACTTACAAAGCACTCAGAACACTGCTCAATCTTGAGACTTTACTATTTTTGCAAATACCATGCAGAACCAGGGGGTACATTGAGCACATCTTCAGACAGGCCAGGTGGAAACAGGAACAGGAAACGACTTCTCCCGGCCTCGGTTAAAGGTTCAGTCTCTAAGTCCTGTGGCCTTTACTGTCCATGTTGCCCACCCCGCATTTAACCAAAGGTATATCTATACTCTGGTGCACATACATGAACAACATCCCTGACGAGACCGACTAACACTAAACAGACCACAGATTCTTACATTCCTTATATCTAAAGCAAAGCCCCGCAAAAAGCAGGTACTCAGTAATACCTAATAAATAAAAATTTAAAATTTAAATTACAAGAAAAATTGTTTTTTGTTCACAAAAGGAACAATTTTCAAATGAAAAAAATTTATCTAGGTACAATTAACTAGCTGAAGCACATTTTTGGAGGGTAAGCTTACAAACAAATTTAAACTCAAAAAGGTAGATGGTAACCCTGTTTTACAATCAAAGTCCTTACGATATTAAGCTCTTATAATCGAAGGGCCAAAACCTTACCATCATTGGGCATGGTGAGAATAGGGATTTGAGTAATGGAGCCGTTGCGTCCTTCTACTCGGCCTGCACGCTCATATATTGTGGCTAAATCCGTATACATGTAGCCCGGGAAACCTCGTCGCCCAGGGACCTCCTCCCTGGCTGCCGAGACCTATGGCGAGTCAAAAAAGAACATCACATGCCGGAAAATGGGACGTGGAGCTTAGTTAGAACACATTTTCCTGAACGTGTCAACTACAAAGTTCAAAATCCCATCCTTTCATGTTAGATACTATCTTGAAGAGATGGTTTAGAAAAAGCCACAAAAAAATACAAATTCAAATTTATTCTGTGGCAAAGATTTGACAATTGAGAACCAACATTTTTTCTTTTGCTGCCACAACATAAATCTTCAAATGGCCTGCTGGAATAAAATCCACTTGCAATTTTATGAAGAAAAAGAAATTAATTCTAAAGCTGAGAGAATATTCCCAGTTTCTAAGACTTATTTCAAGCTGTGGAACTAGTCGTACTTTTATGAAGTAACCCCAAAACACCAAGAGGGAAGGAGATGTACACCAGGAATCAAAGTTCCACTTTATCCTCCTTATTTAATTTTCACAACCTCACAAGGAAGGCTGTTATACCCCTTCACAGCTGGAATCAAGGTCACATAGTTACGTGTGTCTCAAGATCACAATGCCAGGAGTCTGCTCAACTGCACAAAACGAGAGCAATAATAAATGGTTCTCCTCACCAAGAACCTAAAGAAGTAGTGGTGAACCTATGGCATGCGTGTTGTTTGTTTTTCTTTTAAGATGAAAGATGTTAATGCATGAGTTGTTTTTTCTAAACTAAAACTTCGGTATTCAGGTTCAGTTGCAGTGTTGGCACTCTGCGATAAATAAGTGAGTTTTGGATTGCAGTTTGGGCACTCATCTCTAAAAGGTCTGCCATTCCTGACCTTAAAGCATCACCAAGCATGCAGTGCTTCAGAGTGTACTATGCTCCAGCAGTACTGCTCAAAGTGTGGCCAACAGACCATTTGCTACCAACGTGCAGTGAGACAACAGAGAAAAAGTAAGATAAGCAGAAAGACACATTCATGGCAATTCAGCAGAATTCATTTAGGTCTGTTGAATCTAATAATAAGAAAAATCCTGGGTTTGAACATGGTACATCTTTTTAAAATTTTTCACTTTCCCAGTAGCTCAGTTTTATTGTATTTTACACAAGTGCTGGTCTATTTTGGCTAGGAGAATAGTAGTCTTTCACCAGTTAGTCTAAAACACTGTAACAGAATGAGGTAAGGATATGCTCTTGGGATTTGAAACAGCTAGATATTTATAGAATGTGCTTTTTCAGAAGTCTTTTTTCCTTTTTACACGCTTAAAAGAAGAATTTACTACAAACTTCAGTAACTTGATTAGAACAAACGTCCCAACATTTCTGAGTGGCTAAGAATTTTAAATGTTCTGTAAAGAGCACTTAGTCTTATGAAGGAAGATGTTCACAAGAGAATGCTGCCAGACTGGTTAAATATGACCATCACTAAAAACAGAATTCTAAAAAGGGTTAAAGATTAATACTGCAGATAAGAGAGCCTGGCATGGTGGCAAACGCCTGTAATCCCAGCACTCAGGAGGCTGAGGCAGGAGGATGGCCAAGAGTTTGAAGACAGCCTGGGCTCCATAGTGAGTTCAAGGCTGAGCTACAAAGTGAGACCCTGTCTCAACCACCCCCACCCCCGCCAAAAAAGTCCAAAAGACAGACAGACAGACCGACCCTGCCAGGAGCAACTGAATGAAGAGCTTGCCATTCATTCCCCGTGACAGTCTGTTTTCAGTCCATGAAGACAGTGTGATAAGCAGCCTGATAATTTTAATCTCATCCCCTAACATTCCTACCAAGTTGACAGAAAAGAAGTTGCATTTTCTTTTTCATTAAGGTATCTTACTAACAAATGAGCAATAAATTTAAAAACAGGATGAAAGAAAAATAGAGAGCTACAAAGTGTCTATAAGTGTCTGAAAATTAATCCACTTTAATTAAGAAAAAAAAATCCCAAGTTACCTCTCGAAGTGCTTCAGCATAAGAACTCATGTCTGTCAGGATAACCAGTATATGCTTCTCACACTGGTACGCCAGAAATTCAGCTGTGGTCAGGGCCAGGCGAGGAGTGATAATCCGCTCAATACTGAAAGGAAATGAAGTCCCGGCTCATTGAAACCAAAAGCAAAAAACAATTCTGGAAATGATAGTAGTTTCTCTTTTTAACATTTTTAATAAATTGAGAGTGGAGCAACTGTTACTCCAAAATGGCAGTTGTTCTGTGTATTTATATCATAAGAATTACTTATTGCTATAAACTGATTATTTTAAATGCCCTGTGATTTCTCAGAGGTAACAGTTTTAAACTGAGAGATGCTGGTAAGGAAAGAAGGGAGTAAAGATAGGAAAGCCAGACTTCTCTGATGAGGAGAAAGTCATTTACCGAATATCAGTTAGACAGAGATACATCTTTATACCCAGTATATATGAGATCTCATTTAATATTCAAAATAACCCGGTCAGAGAAATATTATTTATCACATTTTATGAGCTTCAATGTCTAAGTAGTTTGCCCAAGGCCAAATAATTCTCAAGAAACAGGGCTGAAATTTATTTTGTTTTTTGGTTTTTTTTTTGGGTTTTTTTTTTGGTAGTGGGGATTGAACTCAGGTCCTTGCACTTTCGCAGCAGGCAGTGAAACCACTGAGCTAAATCCCCGGCCCCAGGGCTGAAATTTAAATACAGGGTTACCTCATTCTTAAGGCCACAGGCTCTCATCATAACATTATACCCTGGTACCTCCCTGGGCTGACGTAATGTTTCTGACCCTGAACCTGGGTAAACAGAAAGAAATAGCTCTCTTTACTTACGTTGGGTCATTAGCCAAGTTCAAAAAGAGGCAGACATTGTCCATTGAGCCATTTTCTTCAAAGTCAGATTTGAAGAAGCGGGCAGTTTCCATGTTCACCTAAATGGTAACGACTTCATCAGTGCTGGGGACAAAGGCTAAGCTACAGGTTTAACTTGTTCCTTCTTTTAAAATTTCCAGTACCTCCCAAATTTTCACAAAAGCCAGACTCAGAGTAAAGAGCTTGCTTTGGCACAATGAATATTAGCAAGTTTGAAGAAAACGCTAAATGTTAATCCTTAGTTTGGCCAAAATGCAAAATTGCAACTTCTCTATGTAGAGATGAAAACAACTATAAGAGATGTATAGTTTACTATGCTGCAGTAATAAAATAAGCTATTAATGTATGTGGATACTAAAACAGAAGAACTTTATACTTACACCCATAGCAGCAAACACAATTGCAAAATTCTCCTCACTGTAATCCATTACATCTTTGGATTTCTTTACCAAGCCAGCCTGGCGACAGATTTGAGCTGCAATCTGATGAGGATTAAAAGAATTGAGTTGATATGTGATATAGCATTTCTATAACAAAGTAACTTTTTAGCTTTAAAAACTGTAATTATTTTTTGTGGTTTTTTTGGGTTTTTTTGGTACTGGGGATCAAACTTGGAACCTTGCGCTTGTGCAGCAGGCGCCAGAACCACTGAGCTAAATCCCCAGCCCAAACTGTAATTATTAATGAAACAGGATGTATCCAAAGGACATACAAAGCAAAAGTACTATACTGTGTACTTTCTGCAAAGATCTGGAAGTGTAAGCAAGAATACAGATATGCATAGATAAAGATTCAATGTAATTAGGTCACACGAAAAATAGTACTGAGTATTGTATTTATTTGGTTTCACAGTAACAGTGCATTTAGAAATTTCTCCTTGTCAGATGATTTCATACCAAACAGATTTTAGCTCTCACCTCATTGTGTGGTAAGCCAGCAGCAGAGAAGATTGGGATTTTCTGTCCCCGAGCAATGCTGTTCATGCCATCTATGGCAGAGATGCCCGTCTGAATCATCTCCTCTGGGTAGATTCGACACTGAGGATTGATTGGTTGACCTAATGCATTTCAAAGGGGAAATCTTTACTACCTCTGCGGATCATTCATGAATGAAGTAGAAATCAAGCCAAATTAGAAGAAAAAGTATCAGAAGATCCAAACTATATAAAGCATTTCTCTCTACTTTTAAGAAACAAGTATCAGTTATTTTTGATATTTGAAACTTGAAATTTTTTCCCTCAGTCCTTTACAGACTCACAAAACACAACGTGACAGAACTCAAGTTCCTAAAACGAAATAAAAAGTACAGCAAATAAAAGAGAAATCCTAATTTCAGAGCCATAGTTTTATCTTAAACAGTCAAATCTTCCCTAGCAATACTTTACAGTAGCTTAAGATATTACACAAAATTTTAGGATCACTTCTAGGAAAAATTCATTAAGTAAAAAAATAATCGTGTAATTTATAACCTACAGAGAACACTGGTCATATACTTAAGAATAATACCCTAAAAACCACTCTATCTGGCACGTGTACAAGACAGAGGCTATTTCCCTTGAAGCATAGAAATCCAATTTACTGCTCCTACCCATGATGTCAAGGAAGTCCTCAGCCAGCACAGCAGGACCTCTGTCAATGGGTTTTCCTGATCCATTGAATACTCGACCTGTAAAACAGTAACAGGACAGTGCAGAACAGACCCTAGATTTTATGGAAATGTATTTTAAAGGCAGCAGATCTCAGCTTAGAATAATAGTGTCCATTTACCAAGCATATCCTCAGACACCGGTGTCCGGAGAATATCTCCAGTAAACTCACAGGATGTTTTCTTGGCATCTATACCTGAAGTCCCTTCAAACACCTATCAAAAGAGAGAATTACTCTGGCGTGAGAAAATGGAAGTGTACGCGAGAGCCAAAAAGTATAATAGATATTGTGAACTAGGAAGAAAATGTTCAAATGGGTAGGGGAACTAGGGAGGGAGGCAGGGGAGAGGAAGTGAAAAGGAAAAAAATGGAAAAAAGCTTTTGTAAATAAGGAGGGGAAGAGGAGTTAAAGGGAGGGTAGAGGAATGGGAAAAAATAAAAATCAAGATCTATGATGTACAGGTACAAATTCCCTATGATGAATGTGATCATTATGTATATCTAAAATGTACCAATAAAATGATAATGATAATATAAAAAAAGACAAAGAAAAAGAATCAGAAGCATAAAAGTAATTTATATGATGAGGACTTGCTTAAAAAATTTACTGTCTGGCCGTTATCTGAGAAAACCTCTTTTCCCATCGTTGGAACTAGGAGCTGTAAGAGACAATCTAAAGGAAGAGCTGACTCTGCTACTGATTTGGTTTCACCTCATAATCGGTGAGTTCTGCTTTTTGTCTCTCTTCTTGTGATGTGATTTCCACTTTATTTAGTTAAAATAGTATTTTCCCCTACAGCCAAAAAACAATCTCTAAAGAAAAGATAACAAGAAAAAAACAAAGGAGTCCTCCTTCTGTGTTTCCACTTAGGAAACCGCTCAGCTGGCCGAGGCTGGACAGTGACACTTACCTGAACCACTGCTTTGGAACCGCTGATTTCCAGAACCTGCCCACTTCTCTTTGTGCCGTCTGGTAATGTCAAGTGGACAATCTCAGAATATCTGGGAAACTAGACAGGATGGAAACAAGGGATCAATAACTGACAGTTTAAAAGCTCCCCAAGTTGCTCTCTACACAGGCTGTACTGCGGCATGTTGTGTGTGTGGTTCCCCCACCCTCCAACACATGCAAGTTTATGCCCAGAGAAGTCCTTACAACACACGCCACTAATACATATGCTACAAACACAGCAGAAGGTATAGAGGAGGCTCTTAACTCATGAAGACATGGTAACTACACTGACTGCTTTTCCTCCATGCGCATGCTTTAGAGTCCTGGCACTACAGAATGGTGTAAAAACTGCAAATAACCCTGTTTCTACCATTCAGAAATGTTTACTTTTTGGCCTCTGCCTGGGTAATCACCTGTCTGCTAGGTAATGAGAGGATAAAATGTTACTAAATAATAATTACTACTATAATAAAATAATCCAAGTGTTTCTCTCAATCTAGTTCTCTTAACCAGATATGTATTCATTTTTACTATTTTAAAATACCCATCTCAAAAAATACACTTTCATTTACCTAAGTGGTAATGTACTAAATTATATCATTTTGCAGCTTGCTTCTCTCACCTCACTTTAACATAATATACTGTCATGCTAACATTTACTTCAATTGATCAACATGCTACATTACACTGCAAAGGCACTGTATTAAGGCACCTTCTCCCTATCAGTATAACTACCTTCAACTTTACCAGTCCTGTATTTTCTTATTCATCTGTACTTTTACTGACTGGATATTAATCTTTTTGCAAATAATGTCTCTTATCTTTTAAACTTTTTTTTTTTTGGTACCAGGGATCAAACTTGGGTCCTTGCACTTGCGCAGCAGGCGGCAATCTTTTAAATTTGTTTATGGTACTTTATGAGTTACTGTCCTTTATGATTTAGGACTTCTGTACCTTAAGAAAAACCTTCCACCTGAAGTCATAAAAATAGCCTTCAATGTTATCCTCTAATAGACTTATGCTTCATTTTAAGCCTTAATACAACTGGATTTCTTTTGGAATCTCTCTCATTTTTATTTTTCATATGGGAAATAAACTGCCCCACCACTATTCTGACAAGCACAAGTATTGTCTTGTCTTTTGTTTTTGAGACAGGGTCTCCCTGTATATTTCAGACTGGCCCCAAACTCACAAGGACCCTGGTTCAGCCTCCCAAGTGCTTAGATTATAGGCCTGCATCACCATGCCTAGCAGGCGAAGTGTTTTCTTATGCCCTCATCACGTTGAATTAACCAAGTGAAAATCCTATGCATGACGAGTCTTTTAGAGATCTTACTTTGCTCCACTGATGTGTTTATTCTTGCACTGAATCCTCACAATGTATTTATTACCTCCCACTGTGCAACCTGGAGAGAATCAACACCTTTACTGTTGTGAGTCCATTCATTCATTTGAAATAAATGTAATCATTCAAAGTAAGTGGATTTTCCACTTACTTTGGTTCTTCTTTTGTGATCTTTTGGCAAAGTTTTACAGTTCTCTATAGTCACTTCAGGGATGGAGACTGCTACCGATTTCTACAGACTGCTCCTACACCCAGCAACTCTCTTCTGTACCATTGTTTCTAATAGTTTGCCAAACCCAAGCCATTCAATGGAAAACTTAATCACATCAAGAATCAAAGATACTTGTTCGCTTTCCAATCTTTTTTAACTCCAGTTTCTCCCCCTGCAGCACTACTAAGTGTCAAGCACAAAGATAATAGTCATGGTAACAACAGGCATTCTCATTTTGCTCCTGAATGTGACACGATACACAAGAAAGGTGTTCTTGGCCTTAGCCCACAGTTCCTGTGATAGGAATAACAAAGGTGAAAGGAGCATCTGTAATAATTCATACCAAGTCCCTTTCAACTGCACTCATGTACCTCAGTGACATCTGGAAAGCCCTGAAGGATACTGGGAGAGTGGAGGCACTGGTTGCCAGGGTGTTCCTGATCAGAAGGGTTGGACCTGTCACCCCATCCTCTGTCCCCGGAGGAGAGAGAGACTATGGTGTGACTTAACCATCACTGGCCAGGATTTGATTGACCTATGTAATGCAGTTTCTATAAAAATCCTAACTGAAGCTTTGGAGTTGGTAAACAGGAACAATCCATGTGCCAAGAGGGTGGCGCATCATAGCTCCCTGTGGACAGAAGCTCCCGTGCAGAGGACCCTTTGGGGCTCACTCTAGGCATCTCTCATCTGGATGTCTATTTGGATCCTGTAGAAACCCTTTGCAAAAATCAGGAAGCAAACTGTTTTCTTGGGTTTGGTGAGCTACTCTAGTAAAGTATGGAAAATGAAAAGAAAACCCCCAACTTGCTGCCATGTTGGACAGTAGCTGTGGGTAATGTAGAGACCTGTCACTTGTGACTGGCACCTGGAGTGACAGGCAGCATTAGGGGTCTCCAGTTAGTGAGAACTGAGTTAAACCATGGGACATCCTGCACAGTGTCTGCTCAAAAACTGAACTACTGTGCGGAAAAAACCGCACACCGGGCATCACAGTGAAGTACTGAGAATAGCGGGACACACGAAACAAGAGGGTTTTTCCTGCTTTAAATGGGGGGTTCCTGCAGTCTCCGTCAGTATGCTGTCTGCTGTAGGCAGGCACTCATACAAAGGTTAAGTTTGCTCTATCCCTTGCTTTCTGAGAGGCCTCCTTTTTAAATGAAAGGAACAATTTTATTAGATACTTTTTCAGAATTCAGAAAAGCAGAAGCATTTCCTAGTTTAATCCATGAATGTCCTGAATTACAGTGATATATTTTCTTATTTTTTTTTTGGGTACCAGGGATCAAACTTGGGTCCTTGCGCTTGCGCAGCAGGCGGTGAAACCACTGAGCTAAATCCCCAGCCCAAGGGATATATTTTCTAATGTGAAGTTATCTTTGTATTACTGGGATAAACACTACTTCATCATAGTTTTATTCATTTTTACATAGATATTTTTGCTAATATTTAACACATAAGTATATTTTATTAAGAATTTTGGAATATATACTAGTGAGAATGACTATGTTTGTTTGTTCTTCCATTACCCTTTGACTAGTTCTGGGATCAAAGATATGTTACCTCATACAATGAGTTGGACAGTAGCTCTGCATCGTCTTTATTTGAACAGAATTTAATTATCTGTTCCTTGCTTCTATGTGTATGGATTAATTAAAAATAAAAGCCCCCCCAATAAATAAAAAAAAAATAAAAGCCCCAAACTAACACACATACACATACATACATAGACACAAATCACTCTAAATCTCATAGTACAGACCTATTATTTTTGGTGGGGTTTTTTAGAGACAGTTAGTGTCTCACTATGTACTTCAGGCTGGCCTTGAACTCCCTATGTAGCCCAGGCTGGCCCCAATCTCATGGAGATCCTCCTGCTTCAGCCTCCTGAGTGCTGAGATTACAGGCATATACCACCAAACTTGTCAAATTTTAATAACATAAAAGTTATTCATCAGATTTTTTTCCCACCTCGAGCTATACTCCCAAGTAATACTCAGTAAAATTTTGCTCTCTTAAAACTACTTCTCCAATCCAGTTATGGTGGTGCAAGCCTGTTATCTCAGCTACTTGGAAGGCTAAGGCAGGAGGATTGCCAAATTGAAGGCCAGCCTAGGCAACTCAGTGAGATCCTATCTCAAGAAATAAACAGGGCTGAAGTGTTTGTGGCTCGGTGGTAGAGCTTGCCTAGCATGCATGAGGCTCTGGGTTCAGTCTCAGGTCATACACCCCTTCCCCACAAAAAAAGCCAGAGACGTTTTCTAAGACCTTCCAGTTTGTGCCTCTTCTAGCACCCTATCTTACCTTTTATAGCACTACTGCCTGCTTACGTATTTATACCTTATCTCCTTCTCTGCTACACTATGAGTTTCAGTGAGGGAGGGCCCAATGTGCTCATCACTGTATTTTTTGAGCTGAGCTCAGAGCTTAACAAAACTGAAACCTAAGTATCTGGTGAGCTGTTTCTCAATAACACTTACTATAAAAAATTCCATATTTTAAAAATATGAGCCAAGCTGCCGGCAACTTAGAAGGCTGAAGCTGGAGGATGGTGAACTCAAGCCCTGCATGGCCAACTTAGTGAGACTCTGTATCCAAAAGAAAGCTAAAATTTTATCTAGCAAAGAATATAGGGGGAAAAAAGGGGAAGAAATGAAGGATAAAGAAACAAATTAAGCTTCCTAATATTTTCCTAAAAAAAAAAGTGTAGCTTTCTTTTTGTACAACCTAAACGTGACACAACTGAGGCTTTGATGGATCTGCAGGCCGTATGAAACCGTGGGCAGGGGGTAAACTTGCTGGGCGCTTCACCCTTTCAAAGAATGATTCTCAACTTGGTTTATGGGGGTGGGACAGGACACATGTACCCCCATCCATCATCATTAGCCTCTGTCAACAAACAAGTGACTGTGTGCTTCACCCCAGGAACAACCAATGCAGAGCCATTACTCTAGAAAGTACATTACAGACAGCTTTCTCTGAAGATATTCTGACAAGTGCTCAGGCAGGCAGCTCGGCCCAGGGTGTTTAATTATAAACTATATCCATGCCTCGCTTTCTAAGGTAACAGCCAATGTTTGTAATTTTTTACATATAGGTTAAATAATGTGTTATGATCCTTACAACAAACCGAGTAAGTATTTGGGGTTTTAGTCATTACTGAGATAATTGGTTCTTGCATATTCATTACTTGAATATCAATATCAGGTTTTCTAGTAACAATGTTTACTTAAGAGCTTAAACGTTAGTAGAAAACATAATACAAATATCATTAAAAATAACACACAGCAATCTGGCCAGTTATATTTTTTAGCTCCCAGAGGGAGCTGATTCTGAGTAAAAATCATTCAGGAAACTTGAGGAGAGCAGTCTGCTGCCAGTCATGTTTGTGTGTGCCACTAATCCACTTCCAGACAAATGCAGGAACTTTTTAATTGTATTCGGAATTAATTATTGCTGTGTACTAAGAACCTGACCTAAATAAAGTCACAGGAAGCATTAAAAAAAAACAGAAAACACAGCAGCCTATGACAATAGATGTAAGATACCATTTATCTGCATAGGTATTACCAAAGATTATAAAACACACATATAGCTCTTACTCCTGTTTTCCTCTTAAAGCTGTTACGCAGGATTTTTCCCCCTCCAATTTGCAGACAAGGAGCTCCAGGCCACAGCAGAATCTATACTGGATCTGGTACTGGAATTCAGTCTTTTGACTTTTGGTCTCAAACTTTTGTTTCCTGTATAGCCCTGACATTCAGCTCACAGAAAACTTTAAAAATTGTTACAAAAGTTTATAGTGTGGTGGACAGGCCTTAATGCCAGGCTTTTAACTAACAAATAGTCAGACTGCAACAGAGTGATATTACCTTCACATGATCCAAGATCACCAGAGGACCATTGACTCCAGATACTGTTTTATATGCTGGAAAGAAATGAAGAAAGGTCCGATTTAGTCAAATAGCCCAAGAGCCTAAATCACTTCTCTGATATTACCAACTCCTATTACACCTATGAAAATATGGAACATTCAGGGCCAGGTATTTAGCTCAGTGGTTCTGCCACCTGCCTCGAAAGTGGAAGGTCCCGAGTTCCATTCCCGGTACCCTGCCCCCTAAAAAGAAAATATGGAACACTCAAACAGGTATGCACATTTTCAATGAATGTGTAAAATATGCCTTTACAACTTTTCATAGTTCATCTTCACCCAACCGAAACCATTTTGAATCTTATGTGAGCAGGCCATTGTCCTAAGTCACCAGAATCTAAAATGAGGCACTGAGGCTGCCAACCTTAACAAGTTCAGCTCTCACGCGGAGAGGGAGATAAGGTAGCACAGAGAGGGTTCCTGGGAGCACAGCAAAGAAAATAGTCTTTACCCTGGAAAGAAAAGGAAAATCTTTATAGAGATGACACTGAGCTAAGTAGATGAGGAAGGGAAAGGGAATCCTTAATAGCTTTAAGCAAAAGGGACAAAGTTTACAATGAAAATACAGACAATGTAGCCTTCAAGGTAAAAGCATGATGAAATAGTGTCATAAAAACTATAGGAAAAGAACTTGTGAAGGAGAACTGTAGGAAATGGAAGAAAGAGGCGAGGAGTCACTTAAGATAAGAAAAATGTTCTTTTAAAAAGCAAAAGGGGGTGTCGAACAGTCAAATGTTAGTGCGAGGTTAGAGACTTGATGCCTGTCTACTCTATAAGGTGTGACCCCAATCCCCACTTAAGATAGATGTAGCCATTCTTCCTGGCAAGAGTAATGATGATTAGGCATAAAAAGAAGATTATAGGAAAGAGTAATTCTAACAGACAACTTCAGAATTCACTAAATTTCATAATTAGAACATCTTCAAAAAAGATAATTTTTGGAGAAAATGTACTACACAGCCTGAAATAATTTAAATGAAGCTGTTAACCAATGAAGAATTTCAGAATTTTTTACTTATTTGATTTTGGAGGTCTTCTGTTGCGCCTGGACAGAGCTTCCTGGCACAAATACACTATCCGCTAAGAATAAGGAAACCATCTGACAATCAGTCTGTCTGCTCAGGGGGATGTGCAACTTAAAAACCCAATTCCCTCAGTGCATGGCAGGGAGCAAGTGTCCTGGTGCAAATGCCGGGATAGAGCAGGCAAGGAGTCCCGTCCTTCATACTAATAGGACCTGTACATCCAGACATCAAATATGTGCTGAATGCATCAGTCACTCTAGTGGACTCCACAGAGGACCCCACAGATACTTTACAAACTTTAGGTAAAGGGAGACCACAAATTGAAAAATCAAGCTACCTGAATGGATGAGAATGTCAAAGGATCAATCATTCTCCTTCAGATTACATAAAGACTCCATTTGGTGTATTTTCTTCCACTTTTAAGAAACTGCTCCCCATTATTTAAAAATAATCTACTACTATTAAAAAAATACTCTTCTATCCTTTAAAATATTTCTTCATGGTTCTTTTTTTTTGGTACTGGGGATTGAACTCAGGTCCTTGCGCTTGCGCAGCAGGCTGAGCTAAATCCCCGGCCCGGTTCTAATTTTCTAAGACTCCAAACATTCTGTTGTTGTCATTTTCCTCCTCCTTCTTTGGTAGTACCAGGGACTGAGCCGCCCAGGCTGGCCTCAAACTTACAACCTTCTCGCTGTAGCCTCCTGCATAGCTGGGATCACAGGTATGCACCTCCACCACACCCCGTCCCAAAACAAGTCTTCTTAAAATCTAGTTTTTAAAAATATAGAAACACAGACCTTTTCAAACCTTGAGTGAACATGTGGGGCGTAGGGAAGGAAATCTAGTTTTCAAATTTATAAGAATCTCTGTCTTGAATAAAATGCAGCATCATTAAAATCCCTCAAATTCTTAAAATTCTATTCACTTTTTCAAAAAGATAGTATCTTTTTTGAAATTCTAATTTACAACTGTGCTTCAGTATCTCGGGTTTAAAATTCAAGCTCATTCTGCACTACAAAGTTTGCCAGTCACAAGCAAAAAGTATGACCAAGTAAAAGAAGCATTAGTCACGGCTTTTCCTGGAAACAGTGAACAGAGCTGATTTCTACTACTTCTCAAAGACAAGATTCCACTTCACTAAGCATCTTTTCTAAATTTCCAACAAGGAATATATATCCTTTCAAGTCAGTAAGTGAACCTTGAAAGTTCACTGATGAACATAAATACCAACAAGACACAACTAATAAGTGTTTGTTAGAACTGTCATTTAATCTCCATAACACACCAATGAGTGAGCTATTAAAGTTTCTGAAGATTAAAAATTAATTTTCAGAGAAATTTGCTTGCCCAAGGATATGAGTCTGCAGTCTGGTTCCGGGCATTTGTTTTTTAATACTACCGCAGACAAATTCTAAAACTGAAATGGTTGTGGCGGTAGTGGGGTATCAGGTTTTCTTCTTTTGTTATACGGTAGATTTCAGCATTTATTTGCAAGAACTATGCAGCAACAAGGCCCAAAATAATTTCAAGACTCTGTAATTTTAGCTATGAAAAATTGGTAATTTTTACTATTTAAAACTAGGCAATATTGCTCGTGTCTACATTTTGTGATTACTGTAAAACAATCTTTCCAATGGAGCCACAGCTACTGAAAGTCTACAGAGAGAATGGAATATCTGATGAGTGACACTGCAGCAGTTTTCTTTCATTCAAAATCATGAAAACAGACCACTTGTGTACAAATCAGGAGAGAAACAAGTTTAGCATAAATTAAACTGACATACAAAATGAAGTTAATAAATCTTAGAAGCCAAACAAAGTAAAAATACTACCAAATTTTCTATTTGGAAAGAGTATCATGCTTTTACAGAGCATTTTCTGACAGATTATCTGCGTTTAGTGTCACAACACTTGCAAGGTAAGCAAAGTTGATACAATCTCAATTTTCACTTTACACCTAAGGAAACTAAAGCCTTGAGGAATGTGCTATCAAATGGAAGAGCCAGGCTAACAGTTTTGTTTTTAATTATGAGGCTGGTACTCTGACCCTACAACACTTCTGCCTTAGTCCCTAGTATAATTTAAAACTATGAAGATGACACAGTTCTAGCACTTACACCACAAACAGGTACTGCGAGACATTTTAAATACAAATCACAGCTTTTTCCAGGGTAATGAAACTGTGTGCAAAGAAAACTGAGCAGAGAAAATGCTATCAAACACTACTTTTTATCCCTCAATGATGTCATCCAGCCTTCCTCACCATGACCTTCACAGTCCAGCAGAGGTAACAGACTGAAGTACCACAATGCTAAGCTGCTCTTAAAAAGCCCAAACCCATTCAAATTATTTATCAAAATCACTCTTTGCTTGAAAACATCACAAGACCATGAATGCACAGGTGGGCCTGGGGAGGACGATGAGAATGCCGAAAACATAGTAGATACCTTTTACAACCAAAAGGTCACATCTTCAGTTCTAAGCCACAGCAGACAATAAATACTTACTGAGTAACATTCTTTAAAAACCCCCAATTCTACAAAGGTTTTACAGAGAGCCTATTTTCTCACATCCCACCCTCTTCCTCCTGCAGGACAAAGATTGTTCAACACTACACCACCCTTAGTGATTGTGACACATTCCAAGAAAAAACTCGCCATTGCACAATAAGAGTCCTAGCCCTGGAAGCTCCGCCTTGCGAACAAAACAAAAACTTAGAGCAATCATCTTCTGTTGCACAAGAAGAGTAGAGACCAAACCCTGAGCAGTGGCCACCAGAAGATTCATTATCAACTTTTGCTAGTGCTACTTCGCCTTTTTGATGTAAGAAACTTAAATTAGCTGATCTAGAGCAGTGATGGCGAACCTTTTAAAGCTTTCAATGATACAAACAGCCCACTGGGCATGAGTGCCATAGGTTCGCCACCCCTGACCTTGGGTCTCAAGAAAAATGAGGATCACTGAAATTAAAATATTTAGCAGTAAAAATCTGTTATTTCTGAACCTTGCTCAAGGTTTAAAAGAAAGCAAGTTTTCTTTCTCTGTGATTTTAGACATTCAACTAGTGTTCAAAATTTACTAATTTCATACTGGACATGGTGGTACATGCCTGTAATCCCAATCCTTGGGAGGCTGAGGCAGGAGGATCCCTGACAGTTTGAGGCCAGCCTGGGCTGCATAGTAAGTTCAGGGTCAGCCAAAACTACAAAGTGAGACCCTGCTTCAAAACAAAAACAAACAAAAAAGATTCACTAATTTCAAGCTTGGGTATTTTACTTTCCATTTCTTTTTAACAGCCCTATAGTTCTGAAGTTGTTTTTAAACAGGATCTAATTTATATAGTGGAACTGCTAATATTACTTCATTCCTTCATTTAAAACCACACTAAACTATAATTACTTAAACTTAGATGTATCATCAATTTTTAATTACAAAAATTAAGATGTTAATATTTACTCAGAAACACTTATTTTTAAATTTTATTTATTTTTGGCTTTTTGAGACAGGGTCTCACTTTGTAGTTCATTCAGGCTGGCCCTGAACTCACGGCAATCCTCCTGCCTCAGCATTCCGAATGCTGGGATTACAAGTGTGTGCCACTGTGCCTGACCCAGAAGCATTTAAAACTGTTAACTAGAACCAAAAAAGTAGCAAAATAGGAAAAAGATGATATTCAAATGCAGTTAGTTGTTAGCCTATGTATATTACTTATACTTCTTAGGATAATGCACAATTCAATCAGGTATTCTAACTATTGATTCCATCCATATTAAAAATCTACACTCTTTGCAGGATGTGGTGGGTGCATGCCTATAATCCCAGCACTCAGGAGGCTGAGGCAGGAAGATTGCTGAGAGTTCAAGGCCAGCCATGACTACATAAGACTCTGTCTCAAAAAAAAAAAATCTACCTACTAAACTATTAGTAGAAGGGATCTAAATGCAAGTTACACTTTAAGTTACAGGACACCTATGTCGGGTACTGTGCAAGGTGCTGGGGATATAAAGGGGATCCCTGATCTCCGTGATTCCATTTTAAGCATTATGCTCTAACAGTTCTGTCAGCAGGAATTTCACCTGGAGAGGTTCTCCAGCCACTTGGTTAAGCACACATAGAATGTGGAGAAATCAGCCATCTCCCTAAGCAGCTTAGTGCCTTGAGTACTCTTTAAAACAATGTTATCAGTCAGCTGATGTTCTCTGCCCTGACATTGGGTGATTAATTATATGAAAACTACTATACTCTTAAAACCTTTTTCTAGTGGCACCCCTAATGTGTATGGCTTCTGCCCAAAGCAAAGCATACAAACACAAGTCATAGAAGAGAATCAGTAATTCTTAGGAATAACTGTATGGCTACGGGTTATATAACAGTGTGGTATCCGTCAATCTTCTAAAAAATTACTTCAGCTCATAATAACCCCCTTCCCCAAAAGGCATTCTCTAGTTCAAGCAAATTCCCAATGTAAAAGGCGCATCTCAGCAATCTGGACTGAATGTGTTTTCCTCCTTCCTCACACTGCAGTGCTGTCACATGACCCAGCTGACAGATCAGGATGGGATTAGTCAGGCGGAGAGAGGCCCACTAAAACCTTTCATGTAAGATTCTTTTTAACCAATGAGCCACTCACAAACAGGCAGGCCGGCAATCAACCAGTGCAAATGCAGTTTAACTACCTGGGGAAACAGCAGGCACTCTTCAAGTTTTAACAAAACATTTCCAGAGCTCATCCCCAGTCCCTAAGGAAGCTGTGGAGAGGTCTGATCCTACCCAACTGTAATCTTTAGTAATCAAGAACCATTTCTTATGGAACTGCTGTCTACTTACACATACTAGTTTAGTTTGCCCTTTCATAATCACAATACCTGAACAAGCCTATGTATATACAGTAGAAATGGGCAAAACTGCTTGGCTTTCCCAAAGAACCTCGCACTCAGGGTGCAGACTGGTTAACCTGTCAATAAATAAAGAAGCAAGAGTAGAAAATAAGCCTGAGGTGTATTAAGAAATCAGGATTTTTAGTTCCCGTTCTGCCAATAATTGGATGTCTGAAGCCTGCGAGTCCTCGCCTTCCCAGAACCTTCGGCTTCTCACTTGTAAAATGAGAGGGTTGGACTGGATGGATCGCAGGGTACTTTTCAGCTCTAAGGTTCTCTGATAACTACGTGTCCTCCGGTGAAGCACCCCCTCCGCCCAACAAGCTCCTTCTCTCTCCAGCAGCGAGCCTAATCTCCATCCACCAAAGGCCTGCCCACGTCAGCGATGTCACCAAAGGTCCGCGCCGGGCAGGGGCTCTCCAACCCCATCCCCGGGTCCTCAGCAGCCGGAGGGGATGGGAAGAGCGTTCGCTGGACTCCGACCGAGGCTTTCAAACGAGGTCAGAAGATTAAGGTCCGAATGACAGGCAGTGACCCTGTGCGAAAGGCAAGGGCCTGAGAGTGCTCCAGCCCGGGGAAGTTGGAGAGAGAAGATGGGGCCGCATCCAGAAGCCCACCGACCCCAGCGAAGTTCCCTGTCGGTGCTCTTGCCCTCCGCCTATGTGTGTCACGGAAATCCAACAAGCAAATCTCCTGGAGAGACACTCGTGGGTCCAGGACTGGGGAGGTGGGAACACAGTAGGGAAAAATAAATCCCACTGCTTACTCGCTGGCTAAACAGGTGAGTGGAAGCAAAGGCTAGGCTAAGAAGCAAAGGCGGGGAATGTCTTGCTTCCCGATACTCACTGAGCCGAGGCTGGGAGAGGTAGTTCCTGCTGACCGCCAACGCCTGCTCCCGAGCTCCCGCCACCGGCCCACTGGTGGACACGGGCAGCTCGGGTGCGGCCCCGTTCACCATCCCCCGCATCGCCCGGAGCGCCATCTTGTCTCCTCCGTCCCGACTGGCTCCACAGGAGCGCTGCGCAGACGCAGATATACCAAGGCGGTCCGCGCATCCGGCTCCGCCCATGCGCGCTGCGGCTCCTCGGCCTGGCCCCGCCCCTTCGCGGCTCACCGCCCCCTGCCTCGTGACTCGGGCTCCGCGGGGGCGGAGCTTAGCGCGCAGGAGAGAGGAGCTGACCAGCGTGCTGGGAGGGCGGGCACGCGGCCAGCAAGAGGGAAAAGGGAAGCGAAAGAGGGGCGTAGAGCAAGGCAGGATTGAGAAGACGGATAAGCAAGGAAAAGACGCTTTCGATGGGAGGGAGGGAAGAGGTGGGCGGATACGTACAAGAAAAGGTTAGTGGATGTACGTTTTAGCGCAGCCTTTCATTGCATTAAACAGACTGAAGCTATGGAAACCGCCTTGAAAATCAGAGGAAATATAAAACCATCACATGGCTTTACAGCCTTCCTACTCAGTTCATTCATCCATGTATCCATTCTGCCCTCGTGGCTTCTTTTTTTCTTTCTTTCGGTACCGGGGATCGAACTCAGGACCTTGCACTTGCAAGGCAGGCCACAGCACCACTGAGCTAAATCCCTGGCCCTACACATGGCTTCTTTTAAAGTGTGGATACCCAGGTGAAAGGCAACAAGGACCAGATTTGAAAGCCATCTAAGGGAGTGACTCACACAGGGTGATGAAAGATGACAGCCCAGGCTTGATGGAGCGGTTGGATCGATTGTGGTGATCTTCATGGGGGAACAGAGAAAGGAAGGAGAAACTTGGCTGGTGTTGTGGGAAGAGAAGAGAAACTCTTCTGTTCTCTGAATCTGTTTAGTTTCTGTGCACCGGTCTGCAAATACCCAGAAGGTATCTGGGCTGAACTGAGATAAGATTTGTGACTTATCAACAAGTTGTTAATGTGCAGATAAAAGAGACATACCAAAGCCAACCCCCAGTCCCCCACCCCATCCCACTCCCACACTGGGAATTGAAGCCAGGAGCTTTCCATTGAGCTACATCCCCTGCTCTTTTTATTTTTCTTTTGAGGCAAAGTCTTGCTAAATTGCCCAGACTAGGGTTTAAACTTGTGATCCTTCTGCCTCAGGCTTCCCAGTGCTGGGATTTCAAGCATGTGCCACCATGCCTAGCTAAACCGACTTTTCAATGATCACAAAGATTAGAGAATATATGAAGGGAGAGTATCCTGCCATCAAACTCGGAATGTTCTCAGAGATGGAGGAAACCCAGAATATACATCCTAGAAGACAAAAGAAGAGAAAATTTTCAGGAAGGACTGTATAATGCCCCAAACAGGAGCCAGGCATAGTGGCACATGTTTGTAATCCCAGCACTCAGAGATTGAGGCAGGAGGATCACTATGAGTTCGAGGCCAGCCTCTGCTACATAGATGAGTTCAAGGCCAGCCTGAACTGGATAGCGAGACCTTGCCTCAAAAAACAAAAAACACCCCAAACAGGAGAGACACAAATAAGGCAGGACTAAAGTGTTCATTATGTATAGCTAATAGAAGGCCATTGTGATATGATGGGAAGATAGACACTTGAAGAAAATTAAACTTTTGGCTGGTACCTGAGGGGTAGATTTTAGAGTTAAACTGTATTTAATGGGGGCACGTGAGTTGACCATCTCTAATCCAAAAATTCAAATTTCCAAAAGCCCTAAAATCCAAAAATTTAGAGTGTCAACATGATGCCAGAAGGGGAAAATGTTATGCCATGAAACTCACTTTCATGTACAAAATTATAAAAATTGTATAAAATTACCTCAGGCTACGTGTATGTGGTGTATATGAAATAGTAATGAACTTCACATTTGGACTGGAGTCTCACCCCTAAAATATCTCATTAGGTATATGCAGATATTACAAAATTTAAAAAAGAAAACTGAAATCCAAAACATTTCTGGCCCCAAGCTTTCCAGATAAAGGACAATGAACTGATATTACAAGTAAAGTGAACATTTCTCGGTGACTTGAAGTTTATTCTGGGTATATCTCATTTCCATGAACTTTGGTATAAATGTCCACTGCCTTTTTGAATCACATGACTGAAGCAGCATTCTTTAATGATTAGTGAGATTGAACATTATTTTATATGTTTCATAATTCAAGGCAAAACACTATAAGACCGACTATAAGTTTTGATTACCTAGTGTCCAAAATTGGCAAGAGTATAAGGAAACAGGAATGTTCATTTTTACTTTATAGGTGAGAGTATAATTAGTATGATATTCAGAAGAGCAATTTGTTAGGCATGTATACTCAGAGAAGGTAGGATTATCACCCAGGGACAGGAGACACCACAGTATATGGTTAAGAAGAGGCAATTTGGAGCCAGATAGACTGAGTTTAAATCCTGCTTTTATGACCTTGAATGGAGATTTATCCTCTTTAGATCTCATTTGTAAAATGAGGATATTATTCTCCACAAAATTGTTGCAAGTATTAAAACAGGGGGGGATACAAAGTTCTGGCAAATAGTAAGGGCTATTTTTCAACTAACATTCTTACATACTTTTATTGATTGATAAAACATTTACACATTAATTACTATGGGTCAGGGTCTTTTCTAAGAGCAAAATAGTGTAACTCTATAGCTAGTTTTTACTAAGCAGGAACTATATCTTAGGATTTTTTTGTCTTCTATCTAAAGTACCAAGGAAAATAACTTGTACATAATACATTTCAACCAGAGGAATAAAAATATGTTGCTCCTTTCTGAAGGAAAAACATTTGTCCACCAACCTTATTCTTTCATAGGGCAGGGTTTTTCTAAAGAAGTTACCCTACTGAGACTGTATAATGGTTATTGTCCTCCTCTTATTTGTTGAAATCCTATCTCTACTTTAATCCCAAGGATTGTAAGAATAGCTGGCCCCAGTAGCAAGGAATGTGGTCAGAACACAAGACTCTGAGTCATCACCCTGGTGTTAAGGTTGACTGTGTCTTTATATTCAGTATGACTTGAGGCAACCTTCAATTCCATTTGCCTTTGAGTTTCCATCTGTAAGCAGGGAAGATTTCATGTCATGCATGGTTCTCGAGTATTTAAAAGAAGGCTTGCAGAAATCAACACTTTAGACAGAAATGTGAATTCTTATTTTTTTATTACACATCTGTTGAGGAAGAAAAATAAGGAAGGGAACAGCAGGAAAGCTCATGCCAGTGACCTCATTATCTCCATATAATGTGTATCTGTCCTCATTCACTGGAAAAGCCTGATCAGGGAAAATATGAAGACAAGCCACAGCAGATTAATTAAATAGGTCTATACATTTCCGTGTAAGAAAAAGTAAACCAATATAAAATCATCATGTAAAATTTTTTGCCTAAGATAGGAGAAGCAGGTAAGTTTTAGTTTTCATTTGTTGTTATGTTGTCTATTTTAAAATTCTGACCATCAGATGCACAGTGAGTTTCATAGGCTGGGAATTGCTTTTGCTGAGGACTGCAATCTATGGTTCTATTTCATATGCCGCATTTTTTTTTTTCATTGTCAATAGGGTCACAAATATGTTGTGAAGAAGAGAGGGAACAGCAGAGGGCCCCCTATGATCAGAACTAGGGCTACTTAAGAAGCGATGGATGCAAATGTTTAAACACAAATGCCAAGAAGAGGTCAATGGGTAGAAGGTTACTGACCAGGTACTGCTGTAGAGTTTGTTCCCTGGAATGAAAAGGTACCCTTGAAACTCTTAAGTACTCTTTGTCAAGTACTCTCTCTTGTTGTCAGATCAAGACAGCCCTCTAACACCCCAAATTCTCTAACCGTCAGTAAGATAAATGGTGATACACCGTTTGTTGTTCTTGTTTGTTGAAGCAGGGTCTTGCTATGTAGTCCAAGGTGGCCTTGAACTCACTGTGTAGCTCAAGCTGGCCTCAAACTCACAGCAATCCTCCTACCTCAGCCTTCTGAATTCTGGGATTACAGACATGCACTGCCATACCTGGCTGTTGATACATTTTTAGTAGGATATTATTTAGACACTAAGCCAGTGTTACGGCTTTTATTTAGATGTCCTCCCAAAGCCTCATGTGGTCATAGGTGGGACTTTTTCAGAGGTAGCTGCATCCTTAGTATATGATTGATTTACGGTGCAATGCTAGGATTAAGAGTGCTAGCATTAAGGGTGTGTGATTACTAAATCAGTCCACTGATTGGTTTGGTACCACCCTAATCTCGGTAGCCTAGATGGAATGTAGAAGGGGCAAAAAAAGCTGCTAAGATCCCTTGCTTGCTTGGTTCACTACCTTCTGTCCACCATGAACTGTTTCTCCTCTGTGATGCCCCTCTGACATGCCACCCTGCCTTGGAGCCAGCTAGTTATGAACTGAAAACCTCTACAAACTGTGAACTAAATAAACCTTTCCTCCCTTAACTTGTAGGTGTTGGATATTTTGTCTCAGCAACAAGAAAAGTAACTAAGACAGCCAGATAGGAGATATTTTAAGCATGGAAAAATTTTCACGGTATAGTATTGAGTACAATAGTCTATACGAATTGACATATACAGAATGATCTGCATTATTGATAGGTGTGCACATATACTCAGAAAATACTGGAGAAGTATATATTTATATTAACAGTGACTATCTTTAAGTTATGAGATATTTTGTTTTCTTTTCATTTGTCAATTTTTTGGCATGCGCATCCATCATACTTTTTAACCAGAAGTAAAGTTAAAAATATTAAAGTGTTTCACTTTAAAGCGTTATAGTTTTGGTTTTTACAGGAAGCAGGTTCTATGAATAGTGGTACAATAAGCATGTTCTCAAGTAAATGGGAAGTTCTGTGTTACAGAGACCTGAAAGGAATCAGGTCAAAGGGGGTAGTAACAGATAACTGAGTCAACCCAGGTGAGAGCTCATTGTTTTACATCTGAGACTTGTTAGGCCACAAATGGGCCTTGCAAATCAACTCCAATTTACAGATGAGGAAACTGAAGTTCAGGAAACTCAAACTCAAAGTTTTGGAATGAGATGGCAATCTAAGTTTCCTTGACTGCAGCCTCTGTAGTCACCTAGTTCTGCCTCTGTCTCCT